TACACTTTCTATACAGTACCTACAACTAGTACAAATAATATATATTATTGAGATCAAAAGGTCGATATTGTAGTTTTGATTTCCCCACCCCGCTAACTAGACGCTTAAACTAAATCGATAAAAAAAAAATAACTACGTAAAATTTAGCGAAATCAGTAAACAGTACCGAACATACTTCACACAGTGGGTAGGCATGTGTTATTAGTGATGAGTTTGGAAAGTTTGAAATATTATATTATATAGTAATTTCGTTTATGTATAATATAATAACTACGATAAATCATTGGAATCAAAAACGATTCTAAGTAGAGTTCGATAGATTGCAGGTAAGTTATACAGCAATATATTAATTACCTATATTAGTTACTTTTCCCCTCTTTGTAGCCAAACTCTCACAATAATTACACAAACACACAACCATTAGTTTTTTTCTATTTAAAAAAAACTACAGGTAAATTAAAAATTGAACTTCCCAGTGTACCGGCTATAGATCGAAAATTATCCGTACAAGAAAGTTCCTGCAAAGTTTTTCACCGAAACAAGATTTTTGGTTGAAAAGTTATTTACACACATAAAATTAAACACACGTGCCATAGTAAAACCATCAATGCATTATTCATCACTTAGCTAAGAATCTAAAAGAATATTTAAACCACTCATATAACTCGGAAACTAACGAATAATATTATAAAATAAAGTTCAACGGCACGAAAATTGTTTACTTAGAACCTCACCTATATTGGTACAGTTAAGAGTTTTCCAACTAAAGTATACATCAAACCAGCACTGTACATTGACTGTACGCCGCGGTGTATTTACACAATAAAATTTGTATTGGTTTTTTTTTTTCAATTTCAATTAGACGTAGTGGTGCATTCCGTTGCACAGCAGCATATACAAAAGAGCGAACGATTATTATTTTATTGTCATTGGAGATAAAAAAAAAAAAAGTTCGCGGTTGACGACGCGTGTTAGATAATTATTAAGGAAACGGAGCGGTTCGCGCGCGCACGTGCCCGGTGGGCGTACTTTAATTAACACGGGTGGCATTTAAAACTAGAAGGGAACAATAATAATCAACACGAGCTAATAATAATAATAGTGAAAGGTTAAATATAATATATATATATAGGTACCTACACGTATACTTTTTTGTAAAGCGTTTTTGAAACAGATTTTCGAAATCTTAAACGTATTGGTATCCGGTGAGTTTGACAAATTGTTAATAGCTTCTACCTCCGAACGTTTCATAACCTATAAAGACGCGAGTATAATGCTTAATAATACATTATTTATACACAATAGGTGGATGACACTTAAACGAGCGCCGTGCGCCTTATTTCGAAGTTAATCAACAGGATCCGAACATAAAATGACCGAAAAATTTATCGGAAAACGCTCTGAAAAATATTCTAAGAAATATGGAATAAACACTATTATAGTTATTATACTTAATATCTATAGTCCATACATAATATATCAATGTCATAATTTATTTAGTCACCCATTATTTATATCAAATTTTTTCTGTAACTCGATATGTATTAAGCATTATTTTCCGATTTAATAATAGGTATCTAAGAAAAATACAATTGGAAGTTCTAAATGCCTAAAAATTGATATTAAAAACTAAAAAATATCAAATACGAAAAAAATACGTAGCGTACGCACGTTTTATACGCGTATATTATCATTCCTACCAAAAAACGCCTTCTAACAAAATAATTCTCTCATAAAATGACTGCCAAAATGCTGTACAAATGGAAAAACAGAGAAGTATCTGTTGCATGAATCGAATTGTCTACTAGGAAAGCGTCGTCTTGGATCAACCAACAAAAAAATCCATCAAATATTATTTTTACATTCTAAGCGTGAAAACGAGAAGTGCATTAATTTTAAAAATATGATGTCAGTACGAACAACTACGGTTACTTTTTACCGTAAACCTAGAATAAATTTCGGAGGATTTTCCGATAGCAAATTTTGTTTATAATTGATAAATCGGGAGAATATCGTTTTTATGTTTTTTGTAGTTAATTGAATAATGGCAGAAAAACGGGAAAAACTCAGAAAAACGGGAATATTTACGCAATAACATTTTCTGTTAAATACAATATTATTTTTGTTTTTTTTTTTAACTGTATAAAATAATTCTATAAATAGACTTGAGAAATTTCCTCAAATACTTGATATAAAGCACTTAATAAACACGCGAAGTAATTTTCAATTTATTCCGGTGTTTATTTAGTTTATTTGTAACACTATTTGATATTTTCTAGTTTTTTTTTTTTAGTTTTTATTCGGTTTATACTGAAAAAAATTTAGTAATTTATTTTTATCGTCGTTATGTTAAAATTCAATATTGTAATTTACTTCGTAATTACAAATGAATACAATTTTCCAATATAAATTTATCCAAATATGATTGATCGAACTTCGGTCAAGATCGTTTTCCGTTAATAGTGATTTACCGTTACGTACAGATACCAACTGAACTATAAGCACTGTACATTTTTTTATTTCCCGACTTCATACTTCATATAACAATATTGGTACACCCGTATTGTGAAGTATTCGAGTAATTCGTATTTATTTTCTTATTTGGTTTCCGGGAGTCTTATTATAATAGATAATATTCTTTTAAATCTATAGATGTATAAATGGTGTATACATGTTGATTCTTGGAAATCGTGGACATTATTACAATGAAATGAAGGAAGAAGTCGATAAAAGTCGTCTTAAACTAACCCATATGCCATACCCCGCAATTTATATTGATTTCCTAGCTATAGTAGGTACACGTACGAGACCCGCAGCCTTTTACTGGAAGTGTAATCGATTTTCGATCCTTTTCTAACATAATATACATGCACGCGAATCCATATCAGCTCTTAGAAAGTATCTGCAAGTGTACAACGTCACTTATTTACTTTTACCAATATTCTTGTCGGTTTAGTGGTAAAAAAAGAAAATGTTCCGGACAAATTTGATGACTATCAAATAATATCATACATAACAAGACATATTTTAGTGAATATTCACTGTATGCCCACTACCCTCTTCCTTGAACGGTCTCTAAAAGTAGACAAATTGAGCGTTCCCTCTGAAATTTTGGACTGTCCCCAGTTAACCCTTCTCCCTACCCTTGAGAGTATTTCCCATTAGGAAATAAAATATTTTGTTACGAAATCTACTAATTCAATCATATCGTATTTTTTAAACATTTTCACCACTAATGGACTCGGAATTTTGTATTAACGTAAATAATATTTTACTAGTTTCCATTAATTTTATTAATATTTTTCATTCGCCGGGTTGTTTATCAATAATGATACTTTGGCATTATAAAAAGAAAATAGTATAAAACTCGTAAGAATTAACATTATGTCATCATAAAAATATAATAATACGAGTATTATTAAAATTCTGTCTCGATTAAATTGACTGCAGCAGGCGTTCAAATCTCATAACGTTCGTAACGATACTAACTGCAGTTGTATGGATGCAATAAAAAGTGTATAATATACGAGCTAATAATAATATTATTATTTTGATATTTTCATCGGCGACGACGCGTCGGTAGAAACGGAAAGTGGATCGAACGGGTTTCTATATATATCTATTTCTCTTGGTCGCACGTGGAGATGAGCACTACCGTATAAAAATAATAAAAATAAAAAAAAACACGAGCATAAGCGAATTCGATCGTACGTAATAATATTTTTCTATTGAACATAGCAATTAATCTTTGGACTCAGGAAAAAAGAATTTAAATTAATTTTGTGTAGTTTTTAAAACAAGACAATTAAATTTGAAATATTGGTAAATGGCCTAACCTAAATGTAACGTTCTAAATGACTTAAATATAATAATTACAATATTAATTAATTTCCATAGTTTCCAAACAAACAATACGTCATAGTGATTTAAGATATTTTAATTTTCAATATAAGATGTGCTAGAATATACGTAACATTTAATAAACAATAAACAATAATGAGATACAAATCACATGAGAAAATGTATAAACAAAAAAATACCAAAAATTGACTTAATTCCCTTTAGTCCATTCTTTCCTGAGACTAATGATATATTATTGTAGTTCGCTTAATTTATACTGTAGTCCGGTAATATTTTTGGAAAACGTGATAGTATCTTTGAAATAGCCGAATTAATGAATTCCGTAAATAAATAATAATAATAATTGTATACGCGTCCGTAGAATAAATATTGGTACGGTGTTCTGAGTAATAATTTAAACCAAAAAAGGGGAACAAATTAAAGGACAAAGTTAAAAAAGACAAAAGATTCTAAAAATTTAGTCTTTCTTCCCTGGGGCCAAAAATGTAATATAGCAATAATCGTATTTTTACAGAGGTGCCGAAAACAAACGTGTTTATATTGTAGTGAGTTCGAGATGGTCAAATTACACTTTTTGCACCTAAATCAAATCTACGTCGGGCGACGTGCATCACTTGGGTCAAAAAAAAGATAATGATCGAACTGCATCACTGAGGTTCACAAGACAGGTTTGAAAACAAAAATTTGAAAAGTACTGATTTGCCTTCCGACTTACAAACTTAGGAGTAAGGAATGACAACGATTTTAATCATTGACATGTGTACAAATTAGTCATTTTTTTTTTTTAATACATAATTTAAGAATAAACCAATTTTTAACCATGCCTGCAATGATTCAATCGTAAGTGAGAGGGGAAATGAGCATACAGAGGTCGACCGTTAACTGTTTTTGATCCAAGTTTCCAGCTTACCACCGGCAGTTTACGGATCATACAATATTACAGGATTAATAGCGATTGTTCGCCGACCCGCGAAACGAGTTTAAAAATAAAAACTATTAAAAAGTCGTAGTACACTGTAGCGAACTGTTAAAGAATCCGTCTACCGATACAATCAAACAGCAAACAGTTATTTTCGCGCTAAAACAATCGGCAGAAAAACCCGTTTGCTTTCGGTACCTCTGCATGTTTCGTTTTGTGTTTATCGGACTAACCTGGCTCTGAGTCTTTCGGATCTCGTCTGGTTCCGACCAGCGGCGGTCTGATTGGACGCCGCCGAGCTACTGGTTGTGAAAGACCCAAACCCTGCGGCCGCGGCCGCTGCGGCATTGGCGGCCGACGACGACGACGGTGACGGCGACGGTGATGCCGCCGATGCGGTGGTGGACTGTGCCGCAGACCCCGGGAAAATTATTCCGCCGCCGGAGGTTCTGTTAGCGGCCGGTCCGCCGGCGACTACTCCGCCTGCCCGAACGTGCACGGTGACCGGCAACGGGCCGGACGTGCGGACCGCCCGGTAACCGGACACGGCGGGCACCTCGGCGGTCATCATGAGCATCAGCGACCACACGGCCAACAGCGTAGTGGTCGTTATCGCCTTCATCGTCGTCGTCGTCATCGTCGTCGTCTTCGTTTGCGACGATGTGCGGCTCATCGAAATTCCTAGGCAGTGGCACACGAGTATCACGGGTCGCCCGACGCGTACATAACGGTGTAAGACCGCACGATAAACGAACGAGGGGGCGAAAATACCGGACGCGAGAAAAAATCAAAACCCCCAACAGTCGGCCGCGTTCAGAGAAACGGGGGATATAAAAAACTGACGGTTTACGTGTCCACGTATATGTAACGATAATATTCTGCTGTCGGGAAACCGGCGGACTTTACCGAAGTAAAGGCAAAAAAATTCAAAGCGAAAAAAACCCGACGGTTATTTGTGTTGAGCGATTTCGTTTTTTTTTTTTTTTTCACACGGACTGACGGGACAATACTGACGATAACACGCGGTGGCGGTGCGATAACGAGTGGCCGGCGTGCGTTCGGTGCGTGTGGATATCGTGTGTGACGATTGTCCGGCGCGCGACTGACGGGTGCCTTCGCGCGCGGACCGCACGCACACACGCGCCCGGTAGGTACACAGGCAGCCGGCCGCCGCCAGGACACGCGCGTTTTTACTTTCACCGCGCGCGTCGCGTGCACCACGCCGGAATCGCGTCGCCCGTTTCTTGGACGCGCACCGCCGGTTCGAGAACGACCGTCCGGGCCAGCGTTGTTTTATCGGTTTCATTTTTTTTTTTTTTTTTTTTTTTTTTTT